CAAAAGACAGCAACCAAAACCGGCGCACGAAAATGCATGGTTAATGGTTGTTCAAACTGAAACTGAAACCGAAACTATGGTAAAATATTCCATAAATATGTTTATATCTCGTTTTTTGCGATTCGTGCTATCTAACCCATTTACAACACATCTAGTCGTAGTATTTCTTCGTCAATAGACTGATTCTAAAAGCTCTATCCTAACAAGTATAAATTGCTTTGCAATTTAGGGATTTGTAGCATGAGAGTAAGAGGGGATTTGACTCAATTTCAAAGGAGAAATTCATCATGTACAGAGCAAATGAAGAATAAATTGAAAAGCTAGGAAACACCGTACAACTATTTGATCTGGCTGGGTCTCATCAGCAGTGCGCGAATCCATCAACCGAACTCTGGATCGAACCCGGGACCTCATGGGCAGAACGCAAGCACTCGGCCACCAGGCAGCTGATCAAACCGTTTTTCACACGATCTAAGAGAACCTATCTTTGCAAGCTTTTTTCAGGCACCATTTTCACCAAACTCCCGGGTTATAACTCGTTCGGAAAATTTTCGAACATTGCTACATGATAAGTGAGAGAATATATATGCGTAGAGGACTTGGTGGGCACACATTAAAAATCGATTCCCGATGTTACCTGATGATATATTTCCGCTAACTAACTCTGTGCTGCCTTGTCTTGACCAGCGTCTCTCGGGATGGTCCATCCGCTGTTCAGTTGCATCTAAATGAGCGTAACGGTATGCGAGCCAACGTAAGCAGCATATCTTAGCGAATTTTTCGGTTTGTGGGCGAGTCCGTGAACCTACACCACAGTCGACCTACCTTGTCACTCCTTGTCACTACACCTGTTTTAGTTTCATTTTTCCAATCATTAATCGTGCACTTTTGGTTGCTGTTGGGTGCCCATTTGGAATAAAGAGCAGAGGAAAGAATGGAATGTTAAGAGATGGGTCATGAAGAACATCGAGAATTCTGGGGTTGCAAGCATGTGAGTGCACGAGCACCACTGTTTACGACACTCAGCCATACCAATAAGAGTCTCTAACCACTGGTTACCATCAGGGGTCCTCATCCAGGGAGCCTAACGGGACCAATGTGACCCACTCATCTGGCTACGGTTTTCATTCCCTGATCACTGTACAATAGGTTGTCCCTTCCAAGTTTTCATGAAAAAACATTTTTTCTAATTTCACTGACGTATGAAACGCTTACTGAATCTGTTGAATAGTGAGGACACAAAGGCCCAATATCTAGGCCCTTTTCTACATGCAGGCGGTCGACGAGAGCTGAATAGAACCGGGGGAAAATTTTGAGAATCGAGTACGAAGTAATGTGATACCAATAAACAACAGTTTGATGTGACAGGCTTCCATCCGCCTCATCCCCACTTATGGTTGTAAAGCATGGCCGCTAAGAATACAAGTTACAAGAAAGTTCGACTTCCTTGATCATTGGTATTTACGCCGCATCTCAAAAGCAAATTGGCAATATCGGTTTTCTCAGGATTAGGTTCGACGGCGTCGCTGGCATATCGAAAAGCTTTCGAAAATGCTACAACGCCAGCGACTTCAGTGGTTTGGTCACGTGCACCGAAGGCCCGATACTCAACTCTCGCGGTAGGTTGTAGCCTATGCACCATGCCGTGAATGGCGTTGTCTACTCGGTGCTCAACAGAATACCTGGATCAGTACAATTATGGCAGATTCGAAACTGCTGGGTCTACAATCCGTATATAGAATTCCTAACCAGAATCAGAACTGTGTTTTGCACTGCGCCGTCGATCGTCACGTCTGAGCTGTCATCATTAGAGACATCCTCCCACAGGAGTTAGTCGCTCAAAAGTCAAAATGTAAAAATATGACAGTTTTAATGGGTTCACAGTGGAATTGCGAGTCTTTCTTATTAAAAGGGCTTTTCACTCTCATCAATTTCATCTTTCCCGTTTCAGCCGCACCCATCTTAAATCATGGAGAATCATACAATGACTACTTCAGCACTGCACGTTGGCACTGGACCGGCTCTCAATCAAGGTGCGTGTTCAAAGTGGATGCCCAGATTTGTTAAAAATACTAATTTTTTGGCTGATTTCATGTTATTCTTTCATGTGATATCCCACATGACGGAGCTCAATGCTCCAGCATCAAGAGAAACCTTTTGCTGAGAACACAATGCATACGAGCTCATTTTCTTTAATTGTCATTTCATATGACCATTTAGCTTAAACCACCAAGCAGCGGTTTTACTTACGGTCTTTGAACTTCTTATTTGGATAAAGTAGGGGGAAGTAGAAACCTGATACCAGTGCTAAGTGTAAAGAACGCAGTTGAGCCAAATTTGCTAGGAAATGTCGTATGTGTACGATTTCTCCTGTTTAGGACAGCTGGAGCAACCGGTGTCTTTAGCTGTGTACATGTTTATTCTCGAGTTTTCCAACCACTCACTGTACCTTGGTATCCTGTTTAGGATTTTTCTATCGTCATGCCAAATTCTTGTTTCGCTATTCTCGGCCTTCTTTCGCTCATTAGCTGCCTCGGAAAATATTATAGTTTGAGAAGGCTTATCTAGTGGCATCATCTTCGTCATTGTACAGCGAGATACAATGAAGTGAACTTTGCTGATCGTTGCCAAGGTCACAATGTACACAAAGTAGGTGAGAAAGTATAAGATGAACAGAGCATGGGCCTAGTTGGAGGGAGAAAAAGACAGTAAATCTCTGTGGTCAACACACAGAGGGCACAACCTAACTGTTTCAATTATTCTGATCCGATAGGAAATGACAAAAAGAACACCACTGACGTCAATTAGTTGTCATATTCTTCCGTTTCTCGAACCAGCCAGTTGAAGAGTTTTCGGGTCCCAACATAGAGCATTGGAGACATCTACTCTACCTACCATCACTCTGTGCATTTCTTGGTGCCTCGTTTTCACATCATCTGTTAACGTCCATCTGGGTTCCAACCTGGAGCCATAGCTGCAACTAAGGTGCGATGTGGTTGATCACAGCTTAGCATGTGCAATAGGCCTTCTAACCGGCGAACTCTACTGATCAGAATTCTATGTGATGAGGAATTTTACACCGAATGATTACCAAATATGCGACGACTTACCTCACAGTAACTGAGACGCACGCTCCATCCAACTCATAAACATTCACAGTTAACAGTTCTAGACGATCAATATCTCGTACGCGCAACTTTAGGGTCTTGCACGCGTAAGGAAGAACTTATTGAACACTGATGCAGTATTCGCGACCTTTCATTTCTAAGGAAAAATCACATAGGCACCAAAAGTATTTCAGTCCTACGCACGATGCTCTTACCATGTGGGCGGTCTCCTCTTTGATTAATCTGCCGTGATTTTTCAAGCAACTACCTAAGTAGGTAAAACAATCCACTACAGCTAATTCTTGACCATCCAGCGCCTGGGTAAACGACACTCTATCTTTTAGCATCATTTTGCACTTTATAGGTGCAAAGTGCATTCCAAATGGAGTTACAAAACTTGAAAGTTTGACAAGAACGCTTAGCGCATTCTCCATACATTCGATGTCATCAGCGTACTCTAATTGTGCAAATTTTCTCCTGCTGCCCATTAAACGCCAACACTTTTGAGACCACTAAGTGCGTTCTCCAGTATTTCGTCTACGACGAAGTTGGATGGGAACGGCGAAATAAGACACCCTTGACGAATACCATTCTTGTTTTCCCCTTTTGAAGATTGGACTGATCAACGGTTCACCCCTGGATAAAGAGATACACTCCTCTGGCTGCCAACTGAGNGGACTGTGTCTAATCTTTACCCTTCCATGCAGAATTAGATCTTTGGTTCAGCAAAGCCATCCTGTGGAGGTCTTTGGGTCACAGAGATGCATAAGCCAGCACATCACGTCAAGGTGAACTCTCGTCATGATGAATCTAGTAATATGCGTCACACTTGTCCCAGCTGTCTTAATCAGTTGAGGTTAAGTACTCGCTTCTTTGAGAAACTACGATTACCCGAAATTCTTCGCTGGCTAGGGCGCGTATTGCGTATGCCCAGCTGTCGTCTGCCGCACCGCGCTTTATTCGCCATAGCTAATCCGAGCTGGAGAAAACCATGTGGAGGTCAACAGATGACATGGAGACGAGATATGAAGAAATGCACAGAGTAGAGTAGGNATTTCTCGCCTTCCAGGTTGGGGTCCGAAAGACTCCACAACTGGTTGGTTGGAGACATTGAAGGATATGGCAGTGAACCGGCAGCAGTGGCGTTCCCATTGTTGTCGTTTTATCTCAGGTGAGAATGCTTGAAACGGTATGTATGCAGAGTTCGATTGCGTACTCTGTGTGTTGACCATAGTGGCTCACCTTCTTCTCCCTCTCTCAAAGTAGATCCAATCCCTGTCCACCTTAAATTTTACCACTACCCTTGTATGCATTGCGAGTTTGGCAGCGATCAGTGAAGTTCATTTCACTGTATTTCGCTGTACGATGATGATGATGACCCGGAACTCTTTGCGCCTAACCTCTGCATCATTTGCTCTGTTTCCCCACCAAACTCAAGGATTTTGGCATTCAATGCGATGCTTGAATATCGATACTATTGTTACTATCCTCTGGCAATGACAAAAGAACCGCCAACAGCATTCGCTTAACCCTTCACAGTCAACCAAATGTCGTCGTGTTGCTGTGGATTTCTAGGGTTGACGAAATCCAATCGCACCCTCTGGGTGCCTGCCGATACTTCATTCGAGATTTCTCCGCCTGGTGGGATGTTGATGCCATCAGTCAGAAAAGAGTCCTAAGATCGAACTCGGCTTCCGTTGTCCTTTAAAGAGATTGTAACGGTGGAACTTTCCGGCACATTCTTGAATAAGAGGCTGTGTGGTCTTTTGTAGGAGAATGTGGTGCTTGACAGAAACAACCGTTGATCTACCCTAAGTCAAAGTAATCGTTTTATAGTATGTCTCACTGGATCCGTTTGCGTGGTTGCCTTCCCAGTCAGCTTTTTCATTCAACCAACGATCCCATTTGAGCGTCGGTGTTCGTTGACAGCTGCGATGTGCGTTGAGCGAACTTTTGGTAGCACTTATGTGAAGTCATTTTCCGTTTCTGGATAACTGCTAACAGTTTGAGCGTACACCGACACGGCCAATAACATTGCACTCTCCTGCTGTCGATCGGCACTGAACAGTCGAGACGCACAGCGCACAACCGTCTACTGATTGGGATACATTCACTATGCGAGTACTGAGATCTGAGACTCGGTATAATCTGGACGCTGGAAACACTTCGAACGGCGTAAAAATGCCTATTGGCCTGATACACGAAGGGTGGGTTTGAAGAACGTACTGGAGCAGTGTTTCTCGTTGACCATTGCAAATATGGCGTTTTCGATATGGCCGGTGTTGGTCACATAGTTAGGTTCATCATAACAGTGATCTGGCGGTCTTCTGCCCTAATTCCACTCCCGCCACCGTTCTGCACTTTGGGATTTCCCTAGACAGTCTTTGAATGCCCGCCGCGATGTAACTGTATAGTTAATAAATAAAATAACAGTTAAAGGTCATTTTTATACCCTTATAGTTTTAAAAAGGATGAACACCTTCGTCTAAGGTTATTTTCGTATTTTCGATCTCTCTGGACATCCAGTCCCTCTTTGCTCATCTTTTTCTAATCGTAACCAATTGCTTTTTACAGATTTTGACGCATTATGTATGCAAGCACTATGCAATCATTTCCAACCCGATTTGTCTTGAAACTTTCAAATTCCGACACGATTCACGGGATTTTTTTCGTGATAGGGTATAAATCACAATGTACAAATATCACACCACCGTGATAGTGGCTACCTACCTGTTTAAGTTCACCATGGTAATGATTTTGTGGTCGTGAATTGGGATCTCTCCCCTCCCTCCAGATTGTCTTTTATTGACCGCAACCATACAACTGAAAATTGATGGTACAATTGTGCACTTAAAAATAAAAATAGTCTTAAAAGTGGCATAGAAAAGTCTGTCAACCGTAAGTCATCGTCATCCTCATCGTACAGCGAGATACGCAGAAAGGTGAACTTCGCTAATCACTGCCAAGTTCTCAGTGTGCACAAAGTGAGTGAGAAAAAGCAAGATGGATAGGGTTTGAGCCTAACTGGGGAGGGGTTTGGGGCGAAGATAGTAAACCTCTATAGTCAACCCACAGAGTACACCGTATGTCACCGATGGTGGCGCTGTACATTAGAGTTATCACTTTAGATAGAGTTATGTCCGTGTTTGGTCGTTTTCACCTTTCACATGAAATGTCCGCTTGGTGATTTGACAATACCGGAAGGATATACATGTTCAATCACTGTTTGTTTGTCAGCATTACCCAGTTATCAATTGATGTTAGATAGTTGTGATCAAACACGTTTCACTAACCGAGGCTTCGTCCGCCGGGGCTAGTTTTTCTGCGATTTTCACTAATAATTATAAACTTTCTTATTTCTCATATAGATAATTGTACAATTAAGTTTCAAAAAGAGAGCCTCTGCCTTAAGATATGTATACATATAGAGAAGATAGTTGGCACTAGCTGACTTGGACGCAACCTCCGGGCTACTCTGAGGATTCTTATTGATCCACCACCACCTACAGGTCACGTTTGATTACCAGTGCATCATCGCTGTAGAGCATGTTTCACGTTCAGCTTGTCTCGTGGTGGTTACGGGCTATTTTCACTTGGATACTTTGTCACTTATGAGAATAAACTGAACGGGAGGTTTAGAAGGCGGAGAGCACCAAGAGGTTTGGATATATGCTCAATGGATTTTGATCTGCCAAGAGGTGGAGTAAATGTATGAGCGCGGCCATTTACGGTACTCAACAATATCACGCATGGTTTTCAAACGTCAATCAGCTGGGTCAACAGCCTCGATTCAATCTTTGTGACCAAATACCCTTGTCTGGGTTTCGTTCCCCCTCATTCCATGTTGCAGCTTGACCACCTGTAGACTTCCAACTTCGCGTCGGAAAACATAATATACTGAGGAAATGCATTTGGTGGTAGATGTT